GAGGCAGGGCCGCCCGGTCCGTGTGCCTGCTGAGTGTCCCCCCCCGGCGGACCTTCCTTCTCCGGCAAGGGGGAGAAGTCCTGAATTTGTTACCTGACAGCGGTGCTGGGGACGGAAGCTGGTTGTTTTTTTAAAATTTATTTATATCTTTATAGAGGATAGCTTTTCTGGTTTTGGAAACCTGAGGTGGTGTGGCAGGCTTGTGGGCAGATGGGACTGATGCGCAGTCAGCGTGTGCAGGAGCGCGGAGCCGGTGCCGAGGTGTTGTGGCTTTGGGCTGGTGCTGAGGCAGTAGCCTGAGAGGAGGCAGGGGGAGAAGGTCAGAGAGTCCTCTCCTTTAAACCTAACCTCTTCAGCAGCTAAAATATCATAGCTTTGATTACGAGGGTGTCGCCTGAAAACCTGTCAGCCCTAATGGTAACTTTGGGATCAGAAGGAACGTATTCTTGAACATCTTCACCAGTATGGGTTGGTTGGTTACCTACACACACACACCCCCCCCCCAGTGGTGTCTCTTCCTTTTAATTTTTCCCTATTGTTGACAAAATGCTTTCTGAAGTTCTGCAATCCTCCTCTACATAGCTAGGAGGCTGGATGTTTGAGAGATGTCTCAAAGTCTAGGTCTGCTCCCTTGTCTGTTTTCCCATGCCCCATGCTGACATGCAGGAAGCAAGAAAAAAAAAAGCTGTTCTTGTTGATGGTGCTAAACTGCTGCCACTTCAAAGAGGTTTGTGTTAGTAGATATGTGTTGAGAGGAAGGGGGACAGTTGCTTGAATCCAGAATGGAAAGGAAGATGATCAACATTTTCAGATGTTCGTGATTGTAACAGTTTAAAAAGGTCAGATTTTTCAAATTACAATGTAGATCGTAAAGCTATCTAATTATTTCTTCGATCTAAAAAATGTTGCTCTTTCTTCCAGGATGTTAATCTGTCTCTACCAGTTTAGGCTTAATTATGATATTAATATTCAGCATCTCCTTCAACTGGGTCTGCAACACTTGGAATAACAGATGTTGGAGATTCCTTCCTTCGAAGAAGAAGAGCTCTTGCTACCTTTCTAGGTATCAGGGTGTCTCTTCCTGGTTCGCAGTGGCCCTCTGAGTTGTTCCTTGCCTCTTAGATATCCTTTACCAAGTTTTTATGTAACGTGGTCTCTCTGTGAACTCAATCCCCTCTTCTTTGCTGATGATCTCTGTTTCATTTCAGGGAAACTGTTCCCATGGCGTGTGGGGAATGCAATGCTTCAGCACCCGCTCAGGATCCAGCACGCAGGAACGCCATCCCCTTCCAGCACAGAGAGCTGAAGTGCAGATAGCAGAACCCAGCTGCAGGGTAAGGGCTACAGGCCAGCTCTTGAGTGGTAAAGTAAAGCCAAAAAAAAATGACCAGGGTACTACTTAAACATAGTTGCAAAGCATAGGGCAGTGATGAGGTGACTGATAAGGAGCGAGGAGGAAAGGTGGTTGATCAGAGGGTGATACGGGGAGAGTGCTGGTATGCTAATTAAAATCTGTGAGCCCTTAGTCAGCTTCCAGATGAAAAAAAAAGTAAAGGAACTGAGTGTTGTCCAAAGTAAAATATAACTGTTATATTTATTCACCCATACATCTGACTCCTGGCCGCATAAACCCTGACTTCTCATTGCATTAAACTAAGTATTTGAAGGCTGTCCAGTAAACAGTTTAGTGCCTGCGGCCTAAAAGGAATGCAGCTGAGAAGTAGCGAGAACTGTTCGTTTTGGTAGGTGCTCTTCCTTTTCCTGCAGGGTGATGCTTGTTTTGCTGTACAGCCATCTCCTAGGCAATTTTTCACAGTGAACTCAGGAGTGGGCTAGTCACCCACGTGGGTGTTGATTAGGCAATGACAGAAACTAGTTGCAAGAAACTCCCTGCTTCCTTGGTTCTTCACTAGGATAGTGATGAAAGGTATTGCAGAATTCTGTGCTTATCTTCAAGATGAGAAATGCTGTCCAGGTTGTCTCTGTTCTGAGCAGTGAAATGCACAGTATGCTGCTTCCAGAATACAAGTATCCTTACGACTTGTTTCATGTTCTGATTAGTGTTCTGGCAGTTTATGGATTTGTTTTTTATACTGATCCTCTCATGGTATTTGGAAGTCTTAACTCTATTCAGGTAGGTCAAAGACAATGTGCATAAATATTTCCTTCAAGTATGCCAGAAGCCATGTGTTAAAAGCTAATGTTTCTGTGTTTGAAATGTGGAGTGCCTGAGGCCTTCCAGTGATGACTTACTGAATGCTTAGAGTTGATTACATTCTAGTAAATGCTGCATGCACTCAGAAAGTTGGGCTGTACTCTGGGGTTCTTGGATACTATTTGGTTTCAAATAAGCAGTGGAAGCCAAATGTGTAAGCTTTTGCTGTGTAATTGGAGCAGGCTTATTTAGAGGCCTTCATGTAATTATTCCACATTCTAAAGAAGGATTTTGTTCAGTAGAGTACTTTAGAAGTGAGTTTCACTTCCTTTTTGTGTTAGATTGAGCCTAACTGGTGTCTAGCAAAACGGAGGTGCAATGTCAGTTGAGTGTTGGTGGAGCACAGAGGAGAAGGATTTAGGAGTTTTGTGTATTAATATGAGGGGGGGATGCATAGATACTGTTTTAGTAATGATTAAAAATTAACGTATTCAGCTGCAGTGTGGTGAGCCTCCTTTGCTTTTTTTCAAGTGTTTTCAAAAACAGTCTCAGTGTAGGATATGCACACTAATACTGAACAGGTGTTTAACAGTTTACATGCTTTGAAGAGTGATTCTTGAATGCTTCCAAGCAGCTTTTTCCTTAAACTGTTCATATAGCTGAATTATACATGCCCCTCCTGCTGCTGTGAAACTGTGTTTGAAATGAAAAGCTATTCAGTCATGCCCTCCCTGCTGAAATAACAGTGCTTCCTTCTCCTTGTGTACTAACCATTGTTAACGTTTGCTATAAAATTACTTTGGCAATTCACAAAGCTGCTCTTCTGTGACAAATTTGTAAGCTGCTTCTCTAACTACAGCCTACCTTTGTGCACAGTAAAGTTGTGTACTGGACTAATTACAGGTTCTCCTTTAGAGTCTTGGTTCCTTTAGGCCTTGGTGACCAAAGGTTAGCTGGCTTGTCCCTTATTAATTGACTAGTGCAGTCAGAAAATGTTCTGAGCTGGAAGTCATAGTCACTGTTTTGGAGCTCATGGTCCTGAAGACCAAACTTATATGGTACGGTGAATATGTGAATAGGTACTAATTCCTCTTCTTTCTTCAGACTGAGGCTAAATATAATTGCGCTGATAGCTGATGTCTTACTTATCTTGCTTTGCTATCATCTGCATCTTTTTTTCATCTTAACCGGCTCATCTCTTTGAGCTTGAAAACAGCTGTGGCAACACCCATGGATTTGTACATGTTGTGACAGTCTTATTGACAATCAATTAAGGTTATCCTTGCTTAAAAGTTTTTTACTCACTTTGAATCTATTGTCTTGGTGTCTTAATCTGTTGTTAGATATGTCAAAGGTCTGCTCTGTCCACCGTTTCTGTCTTTAGCTGAAAACAGTTGGTTACCTTTTCCTGTATGACTCTTCTCAATGCTGGAATTAAATGCTGAATAGCCTTCTCCTGCAGCTGATGAGGTGTTCCTGTTGTTACAAGTTAATGCTGTTACAAGTTAATGCTGTTGCTGTCTGTTTATCTTGGGTAGTTACTAACAGAATTAATTCAATCACTTGCATTAGTCAGTACAAGGGAGTGTTTCATAGTGTCTTGTTAGAATAAGGCAGTCATACTTTTCTGAGACAAGCTCTAATGCCCTGTCCTTGAAGCATCTTTTTTTATGGCAAAGAGAAAATTAATTTTGGATGGGAAGCCTGTGACCATGTACATTCATAATTTATAAGCTGATACAGACATTTTTCTCTGGTTTGCATCACTGTTGCAAGTCATCTGATAGCACTTAAATTTACATAGCAGTATGACACTGACATACAGTCCCTGTTCCAAGTGTCAGTGATGCTGATAACTTCAGATTGTGTTCAATTTTGTGCAGATGGGGCAAAATGCTGTCAGAAATCAAAAAATGTGGCAGGCCAAGCCAGGTCTCCGGCGTGGATTGTTCTGATAGTGCAGATGTTCTTCCTCGTACTTGTTAGGACAGGCTTGCTTGTGTGACGGTAAACAGGAGCTGTTGCACTAGGCTGTTAAGAAAAGGGTGTCAGTCTTGCATCTGACAGGAAAAGTCAGTTAAGGGGTAGCTGTAAAAGTTACTATCTGTAGTGTAGGTGGATTAATATTTTTCATGAGCTTCAGTAAAGATGTGACCCAGTTGGTTCATTCACTTCATCCTGCTGTATCTTGGGTGGGGCTGAACGTTGCATACAACTGCTGGATGGTTGTGTGAAAAATCAACTTTACCCTCAGTGTTGAGTTCATTGGCTGTTCCACAAAGTGAAGAGTGTTAGTGCTGGCAACTGCTGTTCTGCTACTCTATCCACTAGTCTAAATGATAAGTGACCCTTTAAACTTCACATGTTCACTTCTATATCTCGGAAGACGTCTTGTCCCACAGGAAGGATTAATTTTTTTAATGCAGAAAGGGCCTGATGTAGGGATAACAGTTAATTGGTCAGGGCTTTGGCATTTGGCTTCACTGCTGTGTTTCTAAACAGCAAAGGACAAAATCACTTGAGTAGTTCCATCTCGTGTCTTGGATGTTTCCAATTGATCACGTGGCTGTCCTTGTGCCTGGAAGGTTTTCTGAGGGGTGCCTGAAAGCAGCTCTGTTTCAGTCTTTTTTTCCTTTTAATTCTGGACCTAATAAGCATAGGGGAGGAGACATGTAAATTCCCAGTCCCATGTCTGACCAGCAAAGCTTTTACATTTCCTGGTTTTTGAACAAAGGGCTCTGTGTCATGCCCTTCTTTAGGATTTCAGGTGGCAGCATGCTGGGGAGGGAAGTTCTGCTCTGTTGAAAACTTACTGTAACATGTTGTAGCTCGTCAATAATTCAGGGCTATAGTCTTTAACAGCATCAAGGTTTTTCTTTCCCTTATCTACCTCTGATGCTATTGGCACATGAATAACTGCCTCTTTCTCTGGGCTTCTGAGAGGTAAGAAATTGTCAGCAGTGCTTGACTTCTGCTTTGCGGTCCACAGTCTTACAAGGAAATCAACTGAGAATTAAGAATATGTATAGTGGGAACTAAAGATTTGCAAGATCCAACATACAATGCATCCATGTCCACTTACCTAAAACTGTGTAATGAGACTGCCTCACTTGGAAGCTGCATGCCACTGAAGGTGAGGGCTTCCCTAATTTCAGAGAGGTCCTGGAAGTAAGGGGTGGGCACTTAAATTCTTGTGCACGTCATGATCTTGCGTGTAACATTATTTTGCCAGTAGCTCCATTAGTATCAGAATGGGCAACAGAGAAGAGGAGGAAAGAAGATGCTGGATAAAGTATTCAGCAAATAATGAGTTGAGCTGACAAACTAGCCAGTGAAACAGAACAGTGATGTTGTTTCTGTTCACTTTGTCCCTAGCTGGATATGCTGGCCAGCAGTTGCAGGCAGGAATTTCAAGCGCTGCTCAGTCAGGTGTCTGTCACAATAAGTCAATCTTTACTTGTTTAGATCAGATGGTTTTGAATAGAGGAATTGTCCAAATAGGAGGATGTTTGCTCCTGCAGCAGTTGCTCTGATAATATCTTGAACTTTTAAATATCACAGGGGTTCTGGGGTTTGTGGAAAGCATTCAAGCTCTCAGCTCTGTTGGACTTCAGCTAGTAAGGTACATGCTGTTTTATGATGTCCCTGTCAGCCAGATACATTTAATCTCATTTCTGACTGGTTTTACTATTTAGGTGTGGTGTGCTCAGAATGTCCCTGTTCTTCTAACATGAGTGATTATCTTTCTCCTCCAGGTGTGTCTAGTAAAACGTAGGATTAGTACTTGGTGATGCTTATGGTTGGCTGAAGTCTGGGTAGGTTTGGCAGGCTGGTTATGTAAGTCTGAAACTGCTGTTTCTTCTGTTGTTATCAGCCTGCTCAGCATTAATGGTGAGGCTGTGCTGCACATAGTAGGTAGGTGCCCAGCAGGCTGAGGCAGGGATGATCGTCTGGCAAAAGGAGTCCATTGTGGGATGCAAACTTGGATCCAGGTGAATCTGCAGGCACTGAAAAGGTACGTAGTATCTAAATGTGGAATGTGCAAAGATTTTGGGAGTTTTATTTAGGCTGGATTGATCCTGCTGTATGATAATGAGGCTTCAGCGTACACATCTTTCCTGGTATGATCTCAGATGTTGCTGCTATAAACTGTCCTGCGATTCTATATTGGATATGAATTGTAGTGCTGCTTTGGTGTAGCTGAAACCCTCAAAGGTAAAGTAATTTCTTGAGGGGTGGGGAGTAAGGGACTGCTCAGGGACTGTGTGGTAGCTAGGAAAGCACTGTGGAATGCAAAAGCTGAAACACCTCTGAGACAGACACTTGTGAGATTATTGTTTTTCTCTCCTTAGTGTGCAATACCTAAAGCCTGACTATTTAATTATACCCTTGGAAAACTTACTTCCTTATGCTTCTGATAAGTTGATAGGAGTTTAGCCAGATATGTTCCCACCTATCAGCTTATGCAAGTTCAGTGAAGTCAACTTGCCTTTAAACTTGAATAAAGCACTCTCAAAATCTCAGTATTGATGCCTTCCATGTTGCAGAGTTAACTATACCATAAACAAATCATCTGTTTCTGAGCTCCAACTGCAAAGTCCTGCAACTTGAGGTATATATGAAGGAGCTTGGATCCTTCTTCACCAAGATTTCACATGGTACTTCCTTTCCAGCTATGACTGTTCCTGTCTATAAACTCCTTCACCCAGTTCATGTGTTCTGTGCTCAGCCTTCAGTGAGGC